ATCCAGAAACAGAGACAAGGAGAGGAGGAGAGTTAGCGAGAGGAGGGAGGCAGGGATGAGAGGGGGAGAGAGAGAGGCCATCAGACAGTTTAGCACAGGCAGATCTACAGGTGGAAGGAAATTTGGATGCTTGGAGCCATCCTCGCCCCTCCTGCACCCCCCCATCCCCGTCAGATTCCCCCAAAGCCCCCTTCCCCAGCTATGCCTCCACCCACAATTGAATAAGATTCAAAAGAAAGAGTTGGGGCAGGTGGCAGGAGAGGCCTCCCACAAGAAGTCCTCCAGGACTGCCAGAAAAGTAGAAGTTAAGGGGTGGGGGATGGAAGAGATGACCCCTTGGCCCTATCAGACCACAGAGGCATCTCCCCCAGTTGTTCAGCTCAGCCTGTCCTTCTACCACACACTGCTAGAGTTTGGGGTCCCAGACTCAAAAGAGGGCTGAGTGAGGTGGAATAAAACCATCCAGAGAGCTGACTCCAATAATGCACATAGAAACACCTCAGTCTGGGCTGGAAGGCTGTGAGAGATCGTCTGGCCCCACTTGCCTGTGAAAGGTGTAACCCAAGTATATGCAGGCCTCCATGTTGTCCAGTCCCTTCATATTGCACAAGCTCCCACAGCCCCAAGAAATTAAAAGCAATTCCAATCTTTACAGTACAGCTTTTCCCGCAGGATACTAATGTTCACTTTCAATATCCTGGAACCCTGAGGCTTCCCCCAACATCTTTTCCCACCACTCATTCTCCATCCCCACCCAAACCCTGCCTCCAAACCATGCCTATGCCACTCTTCTCTTGCTCCCCTCTTTTTTCTGCTGCCTCTTTGCTTTGCAAATTAAATTTCTGTGTGTGTAGGCAAAACATCCCCACTTTAAAACTAAAAACCAAATAAATTGCCATTGTTTCAAACCAGACTCCTGGCAATCCCATTTGTGTCAGAGCAGAGCTGTGCTCCGTAGAATGTTCAATGGCTGGTTTTTTGGAAGTAGATCACCAAGGCTTTCTTCTGAGGTGCCTCTGGGTGAACTTGCACCACCAGCTTTCCAGTCACCAGCCTAGTGTGTTAACCATTTGCACCACCCAGGGACTCCTATGCCCATTTTACAAAATCCAGCACATACAAAAGAGTATACAATGAAAATAAGGCTCTTTCTACCCCAGCCGTCACTGTCCCTCCCAGATGCAAGCAAGGTTACTCGTTCCTCATGAGCCCTTCTGGAGAGACCCATGCATCTATGATCATGTGCTCATGCACATTATTTCATTTCCCACACAAATGCCAGCCTTCTATACCCTCTGTTCTGAACCTTCATGTTTTTCAGTATATCTTCAAGGTGGGTGCAAGGAAGACAAAGGCTAGATTCCTAGAAAGGGAATTTGGTGCCTATTCTTTCTTCTCTTCTGAGAGTCAAGTTCAGCCTTTTCCCGGGCAGAAGTCGAAGGAGCCCCCCATCTCTGGTTCATATCTCTGTCCCCATCACTTGAACTTCTGTCTCACAAAAGCCCTTGAATGGAGTCAGTGAACAGAGAATTCCCATTGAGCTGGGAGATGTGGGGCACCTCCAAACACATGTCAGTAAAGGCTGTTTGTTCCCCTTGCAGACAGACAGGGGGACGGTCATCCAGAGGCATCAGTGAGCTTGCCAGAGCTTCTTCCTATGCCCGTGCCCCCGCAAAAACAAACAAACAAACAAAAACCACCCAGATTTTAGATGAAAATAAATTAGACATCCTGCCCACCACACGGCTACCCACTTGGGCTTGGGCTTGAATTTGGGAGGTGGATCTGGATGGAGCCCTTGGCAGGAGGCTGGGAAAGCTGAGCATTGATTCAGTGTGGAGCCAGGTTCAAATACTGGTGCTGTGTGACCCTGGGCAAGTTAATCTCCCTCTCTGAGCCCCCACCTCTGTCTCATTCTGTCTCTGAATTGCTCTGTCTCTTCCTGTTTTTTCTGGATCTGGCTTTCTTTCTCTCCATCTACCTCTCCCAGTTTTTTTTTTTTTTCCTCTGTCTTTCTCCCACACCCCAAATCAGTCACCACGACCTGTCTTCCTCACCTTCCCACTCTAGGCACATGAAAGCACACTCACCCCCACCCCTCGTGATCCTCTTGCCCACCCTCAGCCCCACACAGCCCACGGGGAGCTCAC